TTATAACATTTTTGAAATTACTCGTGCGGTCTATCTTAAGTGATGTGTCTTTGATTGCAGAGATGTGGAGTTCCTGTACGCGATGCCGGCGCTCACCTCGCTCGTCCTGGACCACAACCAGCTGCGCGAGGACGTGGACCTGCCCCGCATGCCGCGGCTGCGCCTGCTCTGGCTGAACCACAACCAGGTGCGCAGCGTGCAGCCGCTCGTGCGCCGCCTGCAGCGCCAGACCCCCCGCCTGCGCCACCTGTCCCTCATCGGCAACAAGGCTGCGCCGTCGCCGCTGACGGGCGCCGAGCCCAGCGAGTGCGCGCGCTACAGGTGAGATGAAACCCGAAACTTTTCCGCGAGAAAAAGAAAAATCGTAACTCTCCCCCCAAAAAAATCGGAAAAATTTGAACCACTTCCAGAAAAATTGGGAAAAAATGAAACTTTTCAGAAAAAAATTGAGAGGTTGAAAGAAAAATTGCCTAGACCTACTTGTGCACCTATCGCCTAGAGAAAAGTCTAGTCCTTGTTATTCTCGGCGGTGTGCGTCAGGGTCGCGCCGGTGCCGGTCAGTGGAGGTAGGGTAGGAGGGTCCTCGAAGCTCTTTGATATCGCCCCGGAGAGACAAACAACGGCGGCGTTGGGCGACGGTCGGCCGCACTTCGCAGCGTGTTTTTCCACGACTCACGGCAGTGATAAGGCTTTCCTGCCGACGGCTGCCTGGGGGCGCTCCCGAGCCCGCAGGACACTCACCTGGTGAGCCCCACAAAGGTGAGGCTCATACTTGGTGAGCACCCCTGGTGAGCCCCCTTCCCTGTTCTAATGCCGAGCCCCGAGCCCAACTGTTAAGCGCACCCCTGGTGGTGGTGAGCCCTCCTACTCTCCGTGTCTCACGCCGACCAGCGCCGCCTCGGCCTGGCCTCTTGCAAAATATGGGGTCGTTGTGTTGAGGGGTAGGGGGAGGTGGGGGTAGAGGGGTCCGCTCCTCCCCCGGCTGGCCGAACAGAGCCGGGGAGATGCAATAAAAGCAACCGCTGTGAGGGGGTAGATAAAAGGGTGCCCCCCCCCCCCTCCTCCTGTCCTGACCCCCCAGTGGGTCGGACCCCCCGGCTTGGTCGGTCGGTATTAAAACCTTGAAGGGGTTCTAAAGCCGTTCCCCCCCGATCAGGAGCAGGGGAGCAGGGCGGTGGCGACTGGCCACACAAACACCCCCCACCGGTGCGGGCTCTTTTGAGGGGTACTTCGCGTTCAATTCGGGCGTTCACCAATTTTTTAAAATATTTTTTCCTTGAATTTTTTCTGATACATTTTTGGGGGGTGTATTTTGGGAGAAATACCCGTCGGGGCACGTGGCCGACACGTGGCCGACGTGTGCCGTCGGGCAGGTGCTGCACCTGGACTCGATCGAAGCCCGCCGAGCCTTCCTCTCTTATCGCGTCGACAAACATCGCCGAGGACGCGAGCAGCAAGGCGGCGTCGTGCTCACCTGCGGCGCGCCCAGACTGACGCACGCAGTTAGCTTATTGGTCATATCGATGATACGCGTCACTCTATTATTTAGAAGGTTCGCGAACCGGATTGTAAGAGAGGTACTCGCCGCGCGCACCGGCCAAGATAATCGCGATGACTACTTGTCGACGACGACAACAAAAGGCCCAGAGAAAGAGAGAGAGAGAGAGACAGAGAGAGAGAGAGAGAGAGAGAGTGAGGGGCGCTGGCGCTGTGCTCGAGGCCTGCTTACCCTCGGCGGCCTGGGCCTCGGACCGAGTACCCGGTTCGTTATCGTGCGCGTGTCCGCTGTGTCCGCCGGCGGGTAAAAGCGGATTACTCCGCTCTCGCCTTCAGAAGGAAAACAAGTCCGAAAATATTCCGGAAAATTTTGAAACTTTTCTGAAAAAATTGGGGAAAAAACTAAACGTTTTCGGAAAAATTGGTAAAAAATAGAACTTCCCTGGAAAAAATATGGCACTCTTCAATAAATTCTTGAATGTAGTATTTGCGAAACTAGTTTTGAATAGTCTGCTGGAGGTTGAAGCACACAAAGCCTCGGACCTCGCGGCTAGTCCGCGGTGCATCAGCGGCGGTGGTCCTCGCGGGGGGTGGGCCCTTTGTGCGCGCACTGCGCCTCGTTCAATGCAGTTCAGATACAGTTGACCACCCCGCCCGGCCCCGGCCCCGGCCCCGGCCAGCAGTTGTTGCTGTTGGTTCTGCCTCTCTGGCTCGGCCACAACAACGATTGCCCGCCTCTTCTTCCTCCCACGGGGCGGCCGGGGCGGTGCGGGGGTTGCAGCCGCTGCCGCTTCTGCTCCGCTTGTTGACTCTGAGGCCTCCTCTCTCACCAAACGCAACGGCCCCCGCTTGTTTCATCAGCCGCCCTGGCCTGTCCTCGGCCCGGCGGCTGCTGGGGGCGCTGCTGCGGCGGTGGCGTGGCGTAGCGTAGTGGAGCTGCGACCAGCTCGGCCATCTTGTCCGCGACCGTGGCATGCCAGAGAGTGTCACGGTGTCACGCCCGCGAGGGTCGTGCACCGGGTCGAGGTGGGTGGCTGGCGGCCCCGGCTAGCTGCCCCCGCGCCGCTGACGTAAGGGCGTTATTATTTCGCACACGACGCGCGTCATTTTCGGACCGCACAGGAGGAGGAGAATAACGGAAGTAGAATGCGGTATGAGAAATTGTCTCGGCCGTACTTTAGACTGTGCCACATGCAGGCAGGGTGCAGGGCCGTCAGCGACGATAGGCGAACCCGTCCATCGGCGTTTGCAGTCTAACCACGCAGAAGATGGGGGAGTCTATAGACCACGATGTAAAATCATTGACACTTTTCTCATTTTGAAACTCGGTAAGAAAGTTGATTGCTACTAGCTGTAATAGAGGAGGTAATGGAGGATACCAACCATGCCGTTTCATCACAGTCTGTGCGTATTTTGATGGAAAACAAATATTGAAGTGCGATCAATCTGCCAAGTTTCCCCTCACTGCGCGGCGTTTCCACTCGGGGTCCCTACCGCTGTTATGTCACTACACTACTGCTTGCGGTACCGTACGCTCTCCCCTGGCTTACGCACGCTTGTTATCTCTCTTTCTCTCTTTCTCTTTCTCGTAGCGGCCACCCTCCGCGCACGTGGCATACGGGCGTATGTGCATGCGTGCGTGTGTGTGTCTGAGGCAGAGAGAGTGAGTGAGTGAGTGAGTGAGTGAGTGAGTGAGTGAGTGAGTGAGTGAGTGAGTGAGTGAGAGAGAGAGAGAGA